CCAACACGCAGTGTTTCATAGTCTGAAAAGTTGCATAAAAAACATCACCAAGTCATCACAGTTACTCATAAGGTCTGTGACTCTAACCCTGCAGTCTACTTTTCTCTTTTTATGCTCAATAATCCTTCTGTTTTCCTTTAATTATGCCTTATAACTCATGCTGGCAATATATGCAGTACACTGTTCTACTGTCAAATGTAGATTTCCAGGAAACAACTACTCACCGTAAGTAAAGTCTGCATCCCAGTCAGTTGCTGCTTCTGAGCGGAGACAAGGAAAGGACACAAGCAGAAAACTCTTAAAAAAATGAAAAAGGATGTTTTTAAAGTGAAAATATAACAGGTTGTATTTTACTTTTTAAGTAATCTACCACTTGTTAAGCATAAATTTACTTGTTAGATCAAATGAAGCAGCTAATATTCATACCTGATCGCGACCAGAACTGTAGAATCACAAAAACGAATAGAAACTTTCTGACAACATAAAGTGGATTAAAAGACCTCACAAAGCAAGACATCACGCCTCCATCTGAAGAAACTTCATAAGGTCAGAGTTCACGATTCATTCAATAAGAAATTGAGCAAAAATGTGTCCATAGAAAGGGTTCGATGCAAAAAAATAAAAAAATAAATAACAAATAGAAACACAGCTGCACAAAATTACCACAAAGGCACTTTTACCAAAAAAAAAAAAATAAAAAAATAAATAAAAAAAAAATCTTGATGATCCCTACGACCTTTGAGGAAAAACTTGGCTGCCAAGAAAGGCAAAAAGTTAACAGTTAAACTAACCAAAAAATATTACAGCAACAGTTCAAGACAGTGGTGGAATATTGTGACAGTCCTGGGCTGATTTGTTGAGTCAAAACCTGGTAAACTTACAATAATTGATGCAATGCTGAATTTTGCTTTCCAACAGAAAATCTTTTAGCAGAATGTCTATCCTTCATTTGGTAAACTAAAGGTCAAGCACACTGGGTCACGCAGCAGGAAAATGGCCCAAAGCGCATTAATAGGTCTACCTCTGCTTGTCAAAGTCAGGACTTAAATCACATCAAGATACAAAGGCATCAACTTAAATAAACTTTTTTTATTGCAACTGAATTAAAACAATTTGATTGCACAAAATATCTCACACAGTGGTGCAAAACAAAAATGTCAACTCTCTGTAAAAGTTAAACGGTAGTTGTCGCCACCAAGGGTTGGCACAAGCAGTGTGCAGATTCAGAGGGTTATTACTTTTTCACATAAGGGCAGGATAACTTGATCATTTTAGTCAATTCATTCATTTGATTTGTCTAGAAACTGACTTTATATTGAAGTGTGAAAATAAGAAATCCAGCCCAAAAAAAAAAAAAAAATCACTGACTGGGATCTTTTCTATTAAACAAAAAAGGTACCGCGATGCTACAGGATGCTCACTTGTTTCTCTTCACGCTCAAGTTTCAAAGAAGCAGAATGAAAAACGGATAGTAGCTTGTGTGTAGTACGGTGGGATTTATTAGTTTGCAGATGTTTGTCGTCCTGAGAGAGACTGTGATTGCGTAATTGCACGGTGTCATGCTAAAGTGTTTTTCCACTTGTTATCAAGCGGTAATGAGCAGCTTCACTCACCTTTTGCCGAAGACATGGTGCTTTGTCTGTGCGGGTTCTCTTGACTCAGCTGTACGAACAGAAAGCAGAAAGTGAACAAAACTTTAACAACAAGCGCATGCCGCGTCAAAAATATCCAAAAGATTAAGTCATTTATTGCAGTTCTTGCAGTCATTGTTGCCGAGTTTTCTCAGCGGGTTTGATGTCTGAACGCTTTTGGTAGCAGTGAAGGTGAAAGTATTTCATTTAAGATGGCCTTCATTTTAAAGTACGCCTAAAGAACCGCTGAAGTTCATTAATTTCAGCTTCTTTATTTTAGATGAACGCTCAATGAAAGGCACAGAAACTCTATGCGGTGTGTGTTCTGACAAATTGCCTCATTAGGTTTCCTGCTGCAGCCACAATGTGACTGCCTTGATCTTTGCTGGGAATTTAAAGAGGCTAATGGTATTATTGATCTTTTACTCTCCATTCCTTCTACCATTACCCTTGAACTACACACACACACACACACACACACCCCTACACACACGTACACACACATACACACACAGAGAAAACCTTTTAATTCAAGCTCCATCTTTTGACCTATAATCATTAACTCCCACAGATTAACAGACTAACATTTTCCTTGGTGGTCTCTCCTTTCAGCTGAAACGCGCCTCACTGAATTATGGACTTTACTGCTGTATGTATTATGTGTCCTGGCCTTTTCCATCCACCAGTGAGCTTGAGGACGTTCACCAAGGGGAAAGAGGTTACTCATTAATGCATTATGGCGGCGATATTCATTAACCTTGAACCTTGAAAGGTCAGATAAAAGTAATAGACGGAGTATGAAAAACTAGCTGCGCTTTCCGCGGTGTTGACACAAAGTGACTTTAACGAAGACGCACAGCAAAAACAATATCTTAAAAAAAAAAAAAAGTGAAATTGATAAGAACACCCAAATGAAGTAATCTAAATGTACTTTTTAACTTATATACCTATTTAACGTGTATCACCGGTTTGGAGAAAATACTTTTTACATACAAACTGCATCTTTTTCCACACAAAACATGATATCAACTTTGCCAAGAAGACACTTCACCCTTTCTTACACAGTCGTAATATACATTACACCTGTGAGCACCATAACTATGAATCTGAAATTATTTTCAACGACAAGCATAGTTTATTTATGAAATATTCTTACAAAACGAGGAATAACCTACCTGAGCTGCTGAATGTTCTGTGTTACCTCTGTCCAGGTGTGTGTGGGCAGGTGTGGGTGGTCCTGTCTGCAACCCATCTTCCAAACTTACAGATCCACCCCCTTGCACACACACATACCTACACAGACACACACACACACACACACACACATACAAGTTTTCCATTCCTTCCACATTACTTCAGTGCAACCACTTGGTTACATATTTACAGTCTCATAAACTTAGTGCAGATATAGAGAAGAAGAGGCAACCTTTGGAATCGTTAAAGGAAAAGAGGAGGACGTTACAATCTAAGTTGTTGCAAAAGACGCCCCTTCCACACGCGCTGCTTCAAAGCTTTGACAATGAAACAACCTTGACTGACATTGATGGAGGGTTGGTGTCGTCTTAATGCTTTCAACCATGAAACACTCTGGAGAGAAGGAGATGTTTTACAGAAGAAGAAAAAAAATGAATAAAGGCACACTCTGTCTTTGAACACACTTTTATTCAATTATGCCAAAAGCACAACAGGTTGCTACACAACAAGGCTTTATGCAGGAGATGAACACAGCAGTAGTTGTACAGCAGTCTGTTCCCACTCTTTGCTTTAGCTCGCGTTTAGCTACTTTTAACACAGACTGGCACAGAAATAACACACAGCTTTTGAGATTAAACCTCTCAAACAGAGCATCCACACTTTGTCTTTCAGAGAATGTGTAGTCATTTGAAAAGAAAAGGAAAAAAAAACTGTGACAGTGGAAAGCAAAAATAATAACAGGAAAAGAAGACTTCCCCCGCTTTGAAGAGCTTGCAGCGCTAGTGACTGCAAGCAGAGGGGAAGCTAATCACTGCCTGCTAGAGACCGGTTAATCCCAGTGGAGCCAGTGACGCGGCAGTGCAGTAGATATGTAGAGAATAAAGGCAGTGACACAGCTGATGTGTGAGCTCTCTCCACTGCGGGTGGTTAAAAAAACACACACACACACACAACAGTGGAGGAGCCCGTGCAGAAACCTGCGAATCCCGCTCAGAGAGCAACGCTGAGATTGTCTTGTAAAAGGCTAACCTACATGGAGAGATGCACAACCACAGCAGATGTGATGTGTTCACAATCCTGCACACCAAACAATAAACATCCAGGGCCGGACTTAAGAAAAAGGGGGACCGAGGCAGTAGCCTGGGGGCATTGCATTTTGGGGGGTTGTTGTTAAAGATGCAGAATGTAACTTTTAAAAATAAAACAAAAAAACATGTTTCTTTACATATTTATTAAAACTGTCACCGTGTTGTCATATTATTAAACAGTTGATGTGCGGAAGAAGTTAAGCTCCTCTGCCTTCTCCATGAGGTCCTACTGCTGTCTGCAAAAATACACCAGTCAGTCAGAAACAACCAATCAGATCCAGGAGGAGGGGTCTTAGCACTGTCAATCACCTTCATGTATGTGCTGCTCACACCCTTCTTGTTATCTGCTTTGCGGCAGCTCCTTCCTGACAATGGAGCTTGCCGTGAACATGCAGGCTAGTAAGCATGACCACCAATTGACGGCGAGTAAACAGTCTTCCTGAAATTATCAGCCGTTTCCTCCCCGTTAGCGTAGCTGCAGCTCATACATCAGAGTGATTGACAACACTAAGACCCTCCTGCTGGCTCTGACGGAGCAGTGTATTTCTGCATTTGGCAGTAGGACCACAGCTCTAGCATAGGTGGTGCAATATTTTGGGCCAACACGTCTCTTTTCAGCAGACACAGTTTACATGTCTACATCATATAATAAAATGTGATTTCATAAAATATAATATAGGATCATGCAAAAAAATCAAAATAAAATACATTTCCAATGGATAACTATTCAATTATGCTAATTGACTTAGAATTTCAACACAATAAACTACAGTGAAATAAATATATACATATAAATAAAACATAAGCTATGCAACATGTTAGTCACAATAAGTATGTTTTTTTTCTTTTTTACTTCATTCATAAACATTACTTTAATCTTTCACTGGAACGGATTTACCCTGTGGGCCCACATTCTCCTAAATCCAGCCCTGCACACATGTTCACCCAAACACGCCTAACCACTCAAACACACACATAGATCTCGTATATTTGACTAAATAGCTCATATGTAAAGTATTTAAATTTAAATACTGTATATATGCATATATCTTATCATATACATGTGACAATTTTTAACTTTTTTGTTCCTCAGGACGACTGAGAAAACGAGCAACAGATTCACGAATCCTAAAACCTAAAGTCAGTTAGATAGAAGAACAACAAAACATCTGAACTCACAACACTAAAAATATCTCGAGAATTTATAAGACAAACTTGTGCCAAAAGATGCCACAACAAACTGCAGTGAAAGACCATCACAGAAAAGGCACAGCATTTGACAAGAGCACTGAAGGACTACTCACACACACACACACAAAATGAACACCTGGCAAAATATCTACTCACTTGTTACATTTTTGTAAACGTATACAACTTGTCCTCACCCTCCCGTATAGGTAACTAGAATAAACCTCACGTCGTTTTTTTTTTAAATATTGTTTTTAAAACATTATTGTTGCTTCCTTTCTGAAACCGCTCCCGTTGCCTCAGTTTTCTGCTGGAGTCTCTTTGGCAGCCGCTGCAGCTGAAACGGGTCAGAGAAATAGGTTTTAGATTCAGTACAGTGGAGTATGCCAGCTACCATGCAATGTATTTATAGTGTGGGAGATCTGCAAAAAGTAGCCCACGACTTGGAAGGAAAACAACACTTTCTTTGTGCAAATTTAATAAACCAAAATGCAAAGAATGTGTCATGCATTCGTTTTTCACCTCGTTTTTACTGATTATTCTCAGATAAGTCCAGTACAACCATTTGCTCCGTATGTACCAAATAGAGTTCACCTGCATGTAGCTGAATTTCAGTACAAACGAGTTCCGTAAAAGGACTTAGAGAAATTTACGTGAACAAACAGCATCACGAGAAACGCATCTCAGACAAGTTGGGAAAAGTTAAGACAGATTTGTGTTTTAAAAATACATTCTAAGCTGTGAAAATTCAACAGAGCGCTGTTTAATTATTCAAAAATAGAAAGGAAATGAGAAAATCGGCAAAACTACCAAGTCTCCTGATAAATTGATAGACCAGGCAAGAAAATAATTAGAAACAGCCAAAAGGCAGTGGGGGACCAACTATCAGTCACACACTCTACTAATTTTTGCTTTGAAGACAATTAGTAAGAGGAAAGGGATTGCTGAAAGAAAGCATAGGAAGTACTGTGGAAGGCATAAGAAGATGATCAAGTCAATAAAGTCGAAAAAAAAAATACATTGGATTTTGTGGCTATTATGGGACAAAACGGCATGAAAATGTGCACATCTTCCATTAGGATTAGTTCTTAATAGAGGGGAAATTAAATTGTGTATGCAAAAAAAGGCACCACCAGCTTGCATTTTCATCATGTTACATTTTTGCTTTATCAATAAATTTGGTGAAGTTTTAGTCTTAACATCTGACAGAAATGACTTTAACGTGAAGTAACTCAGGTTCTGACACGGACTTAGAGTTTTTACAAGTCCACAGTGTCACCACTGAGACCGTTTCAATTGAATGTGCTTTGAAAGTCAAAAAATGCAGCATGTCTGAGGTTAGCTTTAGAAAATGATCAATTACTCTGCTCTTATTTTCATTATGAGGACCCAGGTTAACGCTCAGCAGACCTTTACGTTATTTATTCAACACTTTGCAAAGCTTGAAAATCGCCAAAACAAGGACTTTTTGCTCACTTAAAGTAAAAAAAAAAATATATATATATATATATATATATATATATATAAACATTCAGATAGAATTTTTTAATGGCCTTTGATGGAATATGAGACTGCTAAGAATACACATTACTAACATATACTAAAATGGTTTAAATATTTCATAGCAGTAGACATGACATGTTGAAAGCTAAGCAAGCAAAACCTAATGCTAAAGAAAAGGGGTTTGCTAAATTCAACACAGAATTTGTTATGTGTATTTTGGTCGCTCTCAAAGGCATCAACTTATATTTATGTTATTGTTACCCTTGGTGACAATGAGGTTCTCCTCTTGCACCTCTTCACCTCCAGGGGCTCTGCAGAGAGAGTTTACAGGTTGTCAGCATTACTAACTAATGATAGACAAAAACGTTAAAAGTCTGTTATGACCAAGTCTTCTTCTTCTTCTCTTCAGAAACTCACCTGGGCTTCTGTTTTCCTCCACAGCGGCATCGTCGACCTACAAGCAGACACAAATCATTGCCTGACCTCTAAATATGTCATAAGAATGACATGTTTCTTACATTATCATGGTTGAAAATGTAAAGAAGCGCTAATATAATTACAAGGACATCCTGTGAGACCTCTATTTTCGATTCTGTTTGAAATTATTTTGAGTGCACGTAGATGTGATCAGACAGAGAAAGCAGAAATATTCTTACTGAGGATTAGAAGGATGCCCAGCATAAACAGGATCACAGCAAACGTCAATCCCCCAATTCTCAAACTCTCATAATCTGGAAAAAAAGAAAGAAAGAAAAAAGAAATGCAATAATTTATGCATCTTGTAAAGAAATGTGTGAGCTATTGATTTCATACATGTGTCTGACAACACTTTGGTCACTCAGCATTTGCAAGTCGTCTGCTTTAAACTTACCGTAAATAAAAGGATTTTCAGCCACTGAATGCTCCTCTGTGGACGTAAAGAACAAAGAAAATCTCACAGGACAAATAAAAGTATGTGCTATTCTCAGTTACATTTTAAATACATTTCAAAGTAATTTAATGATATCTCTTAAAATACATTTTTAATGTATTGCCCACCTGTAGCTGAACTCATTTAAGGAAATTGTCACAAAGTGTATTAGACATATCAGCCAGAACATTCATCTCAGAGCACACTCCTCCTGGGGGCTGCTGTGTCCCCTAGAGATGAATTCTGGGAAATTGCAAATCAGACCTCCTGCGGTTTCCGTTCTGCAGCGGCTTTACTTCTTGCCAGTCTTCCATGAATCCTTCTACAGATTCTTCCACCAAGCTGTGGATGTCTGCAGCTTCGAAAAGGTTTCTATTGGCCTGATGGCTGCTTCTCTTTTTAATGCTTTCCTGCACCAGCCGTCGGTTTGATGGCTTCCCAGCTGTGACATTTTTCTTTTTTTTTTCCATTTTGTATAATAGATTGAACTGGACTCTATGAGATGATCAAAGTTTTATAACCTAACCCTGTTTTAAACTTCTCAACAACTTTTTCTCTGACCTACAAGTTTTGTTTCTTGGACTTTATGATCATGATGTTTAACCACTAAAAAATAAAATAAAAAAATAAAAAACCTGTGGCTGCCATTAACAGATGTATTTATACCTAGATTAAGTTTCACACAGCCGGATTGTATTTTCTAAATGCACGGCTCATGACGTCAGCCTATTATACAGGATTTAAATTAGGTGGTAAAGAGGACAAAACAAATTACATTTCATATCTTCATTGGTGAAAAAAAATTAAATCATATATATTATTCACTTCCACTTCACAATGATGACCTGTTTTTTCTCTTTCTTGTTTCTTTCGAATAACAACAACAAAATGGTGTGTAAAAAAAATCCAAAAAAGTTCCTAAAAGAGAGCAGGGATAAAGCTTTATCCAGTCTTTACCCCAAAGCTTGCCTATATTTTCTAGTCTACTTAAACTACTTTAAATCACCTGAAATCCTATCAACATACATTTAGATTTGTAGCTATGATGTTATAAAGTAAAACAAGTTTAAGAGGAATTAATGCTTTACAATACATTGTAGGGCATCCTCTTCAAAGCTAAGTTTTCCTCAATAGTATTTTGAACTTCTGTTGGACTTTGACCAAAATAAATATTTTTTTTCCCTACTAGAAATAAGTTAAAACCAGTATAAATAAACTGCCTAAGTCCAAAAACACACAACAGGAACAACACTGGAGAGGCTCAAGAACAACTAATCAAGATCAACTAGTTAAGCAGTTTTAATTTGGTCAAAAAAAAGAGAGAAAAAATCACTAATATGGTATTGACATTTTTCCCACTGTTTACTCTTGTGCACATGTCTTTATGGGGATGATCTAGAAACCAAATGTTCAGTTTTAACCCTGTTAGTAAATGTAGGGCACTCACCCATAACACTGGAGTCTGATTCAGCTGAAAAGCACAGACAAGATGGGGAGGTTAGAGGAAGACTGAAGGAAAAAAGAGGCAACACAGGAGATGAGATGGAAATGACTTGGTGTATGTTTGTTTTCAAAAGTGTCTCAAAATAGCACAGGTTATATTTTTAAGCAGAAAAAGACTATTTTATATATCATTATATGTTAAGAGACCTCACACACTGAGTGGGTGAGCCAGTGTGTACATCTGACTCATGAAGCCTTTAGGTGGTAATTGATATTTTTGCTAAACGTCTCACCAAGGCTGGCTTTACTTCCCCCCCCCAACCCCAAAGCAACCCTGCCTGCTCAAACAGCGCCTCCTTATGGGTGCTTTGCGAACGTCCAAGCGTGTTTCTTTTTGGTAAGCAGGGGAGCACTTACCGGCTACACACACCAGGAGTGAGGAGAGGAAGAGCAAAACCGTTTCCATGGCAACTGTTGACAGAGTAAGAAAGAGTGAAAGGGAGAGAAGACATAAGAAACTCCAGTGAATGAGGTAAAAGCACACACTGCTACAACCATATATATTTGCATATGTCTCTTAGAAATAACAATATTTGATTGTTTTTGCATTAACAAAATAAATTCAAATTTATAATCAACAGGAACCAAATGACACATCGTCAGCTGCGTCCAAACCTCTGGAGGTTGACAGATGTTTAAAAGCCCGCAGATATATATATATATATATATA